TATCCCTGTTTGGGATACACCCATTCTTAGGGCAGAGGGGAAGAGCAAGAAGCTGACATGAACCACACATTTAAAGCTTTTGCTCAGACATAGTATATGTAAAGTTCACTCACATTATATCGGCCAAGGCAAGTAACATAGCAAAGCCTAAAGTCAGTGGGGTGGGGAGATATCCTCCCTCCTTCAGAGAATATTTAAGTAGAATGAAATAGCCTGGCACACCAGAACAGTATTACTGCAAAGTGGCCCATCTTTCCTTTGTACCTACCTTCTAGGTTAGAAGCTCCCTCCCTAGACTTGATCCAGATGCAGAGAAAGAGGTTGGTGTTGAAGAATAAGTGGAATACCTTTCTGAAAAAGTTGTGTTTACCTTCCATCTTGATGAAAAATTCACGTTCAGTGTTCACACCATTGTTGCACAAGTAGAGCCGTGACTTAAGTTTCACATCTCCCATAACTGATTTCATGCATTTTGGGCAGCCATATCATGTTTCAAGGAATCATGAATGTTTTTTCCCCTCCAAGGACCGTGTCCTCAAAATACAATGCTTATAGAAATAATAACAGGAAACACATACAACATAAGCTCAATTCTCTTCCCTCATCTACATTTCTGAGCCCCCAAAATAACAGGTGATGTGAGAAAGAACTGTCCAGAACTGGTATCTGCAATGCAAACTAACATCACAATACTACCTGATGAGAGATGACATGTATCCTCAAGAACATGGGCCCGGGTTTCCTTTTCCTTAAGTGCGCGGCATTCTTATGGCACATGTAGCATCTGGGTATCATTGTGACTCCTCAAGGAGTTGGGAATGAGAAGAAATTCAGGGAAGGACTAATGCCTATTTGCAAACAAGACTCCCAACTAGTGACAGGAAACATGAAAACAAATCTGGAGATATTACTAAAATATCCAGATTTCTGGACCCTAGAAAAATTGGAAAAGGAAGCAAGGTTAGCCTGCCTTCTCCCATGGCAAGAGTTGGCTAGAGCTGAGTAATTGTGCTGTTGAGTGATGACTATCCCTTTTAACTGGGACAAGAGCGATTGTCTCCAGACGGACATAACCGCCCACCAATCTTGAATGTGTACCTACCTACACATGCTAGCCTGCTTCACTCATATATAGTGTTCGTCTGGCCCCTGTGGTTACCTGTAGTTTTTAACTCCTTATTTATTAAGAGCCTACTGTGTACTGTTCTGGAAGCTGCCTATTTCTTTTTTCAGTGGCCTTCTCCAAGATAATGGAAAAGACTGGTCCTTCCTTTCCAAACTTCCTATTAAAATTAGTATTCTGCTGAGGGAGTCATGTAATGACTTTAGGTCAAGATGACTGGTATGCCTAAGGTTCAGTGAATGGTCTTGTTTAGACCCTTGATTCCATTCCTCTGAAACATTCCTTAATTATTCATCCATGTTAATCCTCATAGTTGCAAGAATATAGGTTTTTGGTCAAACTGACCTGAACTCAAATTCCAACTTCAAATCACATCAATTCTCTGAGCCTGAGTTTTTTTCATTTGTGAAATAGGCATATTAATTCAATCTTGGTGGGTTGCTATGAGGATGGAATAAATGAAATCATGTATGTAAAAAGTAGATCTTGCATTATAAAATATGCAGTAAATGTTAGCTTCCTTCAAAAATCCCATCCACTTACAGCTTCACAAAATATTAATACCTTTTACATGTAATAATTATGTAGAGAAAAAGTTAGCTAACAGATATTCTTTCAAAGGAATAATGAAAAACTAGGTGGGTCCCTCTGTTTTAGGAAATAATAATACATTATTACCCATAAACACTATGTCCTATGATGTGGCCTCCTGTGGATGAGCTAGTTCTCTTTGGGGTTGTGAAGGTGTTTTCTTACTTATCATTTGTTTGTGTTTTATTTCTGACTTTTGCACTCTGCTTTATGAAGTTAGTTGGGCAGACATTGTCCTATCTTACAAATACAGAAAGTAAAGCTCAGGTGTTCTAGTCAAGACTGTTGGATGCAAAAGTCAAAAGCTACTCAGGCTTACTCTGGTTGGGTAATATAATGAACATGCAAGTATCAGCACCAGAATAAGAGCTGCAACTCACAGGGAGATAAACTGGCAAGTCAGGGAACCATGCCGTTTTTCTCTCTGGTGTCTCACATCAACTCTCATCTTTTTTTCTCTGATTATTCAGCTTGTAATTGGCCCAATATGACCAGAAGCCTACCTCTATCCCCATCCTTTTTAACTTATCAGCTTACTACAGCTCAAGGTTGAGCTTCTGTCCTGGAGTCTGAGTTTCTTGCTGTGCTGCTAGAAATAGGATGCCAGGTAGAGGACCTTACATTGGATACTACACCTGTATCTATGATCTTTTCCCCCTCCCTGGCCATTTTTCATAATAGAATGGAGGGAATAATCAAAGTGACGGTAACTTGGAATTTTCCAGAATTGGTAAAGGAATATATTAATATGTGGGTACATCCAAATACATATTGACTGCATAAATCATAATTATAAGCATAATGTCTAATTTGGGATGTTAAAAATACTAAACAACAATAAACCTGAAGTAGAAGGAGAGTAATTTTAGTTAAAGGCCTTGAATTTGGTGGGGGAAGGGTGTGGAAAACACATATATTTTGCCTAATCTGTTAAATATGCATAATAAAATGTTTAAAGTAGCACTAAAAGAACAAATATATAAACATTAGAAAATGTTTTATAAATAAAAGAAGGTTTAAAAGTAGAACAGAAAAAATTAAAGAAAACGCAAAAAAATAGGCAGCACAAAATAAATGGTAGTAGAATAAAGTCCAACTCTGTAACTGATTTCAAAAATTATAAAGTGACTAAATTTTCCATTTAAAATAAAAACGTTACCAGAATAGAAACAATTTGCATCTATACTGTACACAAGACAGAAAGCAAACAGAAGTAAATAGAATTATTAAAGTATAAAGATGGGAAAAGATACATCATTTATATACTAAACAAAAGAAAGTTGATATAGCTGTATTAGTATTATCTGATTAAATTTATTTTATTTTATTTTTTAAATGTTTATAAATTTATTTTTGAGAGAGGGAGAAAGTGCAAGCAGGAGAGGAACAGAGAGAGAGAGAGAGAGAGGGAGACACAGAATCTGAAGCAGGCTCCAGGCTCTGAGCTGTCAACACAGAGCCCAATGAGAAGCCTGAACTCACAAACTGTGAGATCCTGACCTCAACTGAAGTCAGATGCTCAACTGACTGAGCTATCCAGGTACCCGTGATCATATAGATTTTAAAGCAAAAAGCATTACTAGAGATAAGAAGAGTCATTTCATATTGATAAAAGTTCAATTCACTAGAAAGATTAAATAATTCTAACCTTGTATGCACATGGTATTGCTTCAAAATAAATAAAACAAGAACAGTCCAGGTTGGCAGTGTTTCTGTTGATATAAAATTCTCAAAACTCTGGTTTCCCTCCTGTGCAATTATTGGGAAAGCAAGCTATCAGACAAGAGATGCCTCCATATATTTTTCCTAAATAACACCATGTCTATTCTTGGATTATGCGGAGAAGGATGAATGGGTCCATCAGTCACATTCCTAGTCTCTTTGGTAAATGGATGTCCTGCTACACCTTTGGCCCCATTTCCAGAGCATACTTATCTGGATAAGCTGAGATTCTTCCAATCAAGTGCTGTATTCTTTTTGCTTAATAGCTCCTTCCTCAATTTATTTCTGTCTTCTCGCAGCAAGGAGACACCATGTTGAAACTTCAACACTTTGCTTGGAAGTCTCCTTAGCTAAATATCCAGATTCATCACTTATAAGTTCTGCTCTCCATCCAACACAACATAATTCATCCAAGTTCTTTGCCACTTTATAACAAAGATTGCCTTTCCTTCAGTTTCCAATAACATGTCCCTCATTTCTGTATGAGAACTCACCAAAAGCATCTTTAACATTCATATTTTTAGAAAAATTCTATTCACAATTATATATGTATTCTCTAAGACAACAGAATCTTTCCTTTTTGAGCTCTCACCAGAATCTTTTTTTGTATTTTTAACAAAAGTCTCTTCAAGGCAATGTAAGCTCTAATTCAACCCACAACAATGTTGAAAGTATAATACATTATAAAATTCTTAAATCAGACATAAAATGTTAGAGAAGCATATTATAAATCCCAGGGTATTCACTAAAAATAAGTTTAAAACACTGAGGTATAGTTAATAAGCCAAAATATAAATGAAATGGAATACTAAAAAATAAGAGAGAACTCTATATAAAAGATGGTAGGAAAAAGAAAAAGAAATAAAGAGCAGATGGGACAAAAAGAAAAAAATTACAAGATGATAAATTTAAACCTAACCATATTGATAATTACATTAAGTATAAATAGTCTATGCACTCCAGTTATAAGACAGAGATTGTCAGACTGGATTTAAAAAGAAAAGATTGGAGTGACATCAGAAAGATGAAGGAATAAGAAATTCTAGTCCTTGTCTTCCCACAAAAACACCACTTTAATAGCTATCCATGGATAAACATATCTTATGAAAGCTCTGGAATTCAGTAGAGAGACTGCAGCACCCCAGTGGACCACAGAAATGATAAAAGAAGTATCAATCCATGTAAGAATAGTTTTTATTCAACTACATCACCCTTCCCATAACCCAACATAAAGGAGCACTAAGAGATTTCTATCCCTTTGTCTCAAGTTACTCCACAGGGGAAAAAGAAAGTGAACCTGCCTGTGGACTCTGGCAAGGTTCTGTCCACCTGTGGACCCCAACACCAGGTCTGCGCCCCCTCCACACCATGGGTTCTGCCACCTGGCCTTCAGAGTCTGGCTAGGCTGACTGGTGAAGCCTTCCCCGCTGAAGCCATTCTGTAAGGACTAGAAAAGATGACTACTTCTTCATATTCTCAGACACCAACAAAAGACAATAAGAATCATTAAGATTCAGGGAAACATAACACCACCAAAGGCTCAATATAAAGCTTCAATAACTTACCCTAAAGAAATGGCAACTGACATAGAATTCAAAATATTCATGACCTGTAAGAGAACACAGACAACTAAATGAAACCAGGAAAACAATACATGAGCAAACTGAGAAGTTTAATAAAGAGATAGAGAACATTAAAAAGAGCCAAAAAGAAACTTTGGAGTCAATACTATGACTGAACTAAAAACTTTAATAGAGAGCTTCAACAACAGACTCATCAAACCAAAAAAAAGAATCAGTAAATCCAAAGACAAGTGATCTGAAAAAAAAAAAAAAAAGAAAGAACAATTAAAGAGTGAAGAATGCCTACGGGCTACGGGACTTATAGTACACCATATACATATAAACATATACATATACATATATATATATATGTGCATCATGGGAGTCCCAGAAAGAGAAGAGAAAGAGAAAGAAGCAGGAAGCTTATTTAAAGAAATAATAGCTGAAAACTTTCCAAATCTGGGGATGGGCATAGATATCAGACCCATGAAGCCCAAAAGACTCCAAATAGATTGAATGTAAAGAAATCTACACCAAGATATGCTATAATTGAGTTGTCAATAAACACAGAGAGAACTTTGAATGTGGCAAGACAAAAGCAACTTATTACATACAAAGAATCCTTATAAGACAATTAGAATATATCTTAGCAGAAACCTTGAAGCCAGGAAAGAAGTAGAATGATCTATTCAAACTGCTAAAAGAACAAAAACCCTGCAAACCAAAAATATTACACCCAGCAAAACTGTCCTTCAAAAATGTAGGAAAGACAAAGACTTTTCAGACAAACAAAAACTGAGGGAATTTGTCACCAGTACCCCTGCCTTACAAGTGCTAAAGGGAATTTTTCAAGTTGAAATGAGGTAAAGCTAAACAAAACACAAAAATATAAATCCCACTAGTACAGGAAAATGTAAAGACAAATATAGAATAATATAATACTACAATGTTGATTTATATATCATTTTAGACACAGGTATAAAAGTTAAAACAAAAAGTATAAGAATAACTACAGTCACAAAAATTTGTTAATGGATACACAATGTAAAAGTAATGTGGAGTTTTTGTGTATGATTGCTAACAGCTTAAAATAGATTGTTAAAATAATAATAAGTTTTATGCAATGCCCATGGTAACCGCAAAGAAAAAGTCTATATTAGATTAGTATATTAGTAAAAAAAAAAAAAAAAAAAAAGGCAAAGAACCCAAGTATATCACTACAAAAAAATCAAATCACAAAGGAAGACAGCAAAAGAAAAACAAAAGAACTATAAAACAGACACAATGAACAGAATGGCAATGGCAAGTCTTTATCTATCAATAATGAATTTAAATGTAAATGAATTCAGCTCACCAATCAAGATATATAAAGTGGCTGGAATTAAAAAATCCACTTATATGTTATTTGTTAGAGACTCACTTTAGATTTAAAGACACATATAGCTGAAAGTGAAGGAGTGAAAAAAGATATTATATGCAAAAGAAAGCAGGGGTGGCTATACTTATATCAGACAAAATAGTGTACAATATGGTATACACATATACTTATAGCAGACAAAATGGGCTTTATGTCAGAAACTGTCACAAGAGACCAAGAAGGTCAATTGAATAAAAGAATCAGTTGAACAGGAAGATAGAATAATTATAAATATTTATGCATTCCACATCAGAAGGCCTAAAAACATAAAGTAAACATTGACAGATTGAAGGGAGAAATAGACAGAAATACAATAGTAGTAGGAGATTTTGATACCACATTTTCAATAAAGGATAGGTCACCCAAACAGAAAATCAATAAGGAAAGAGCAGACTTGAACAACACTATTGACCAAATGGACCTAATAGACATAAACAGAACATTCAACCCAACAGCAGCAGAATAAACATTTTTCTCAAGTGCTCACAGATAATTCTCCAGGATAGATCACATGCTAAATCACAAAAAATGTCTTGACAAATTTAGGAAGACTGAAAGCAATTTCAAGTATCTTTCCCAATCACAACAGAATAACAAAGGAAAATGGGAATCTCATAAATGCATGGAAATTAAACAACACATAATAACAGAGCTTCAAAATACATGAAACAAAAAATGACAGAACAGAAAGGAGAAACAGACAAATCCATATAGTTGGAGATTTCAACAGTCATGTTTCAGTAATGAATAGAACAAAGGGACAGAATATCAAGTATAGAACACTTGAATAATGCTATCAAAAAACTGGTATTTATAGAACCATATTTGCAACAGCCTCAGACCAAATATTCTTTTCAATTTTACAGTGAACATTCACCAAGATAAACCATAAATAACAAATTTAATAACAAATTCCAAAGAATTGAAATCATATAGTGTATATTCTCTGAAGACAAGCAAGTTAAATGAGAAGTTACTAACAAAAATATACCTAGAAAATTCATGGATATTTGGAAATTAAAGTGAACTTTTCTAAATAACCCTAATCAAAGAGGAAAATCACAAGATAAATTAGAAAATATTTTGACTGGAATGAAAACAAAAACCAAACATATCAAAATCTGTGAGATGCAGCCAAAAGAGTGTTTCAAGAAAAATGTATAGCTTCATATGCTTGTTCTAGAAAAAAAGGTCTAAAATCAGTCACCTAAGCTTCTGTTTAAGAAAATATAAAAGAACATATTAAGAGCAAAGTAAGTAGAAGGAAAGAAATAATAAAGAGCAGAAATTAATGAAATAGCCCAAACATCCATCAACTGATGAATGGATAAAGATGTGGCATATATATATAATGGGATATTATTCAGCTATCAAACAGAATGAAATATTGCCATTTGCAATGACATGGATGGAGCTAGAATGTATTATGTTAAACAAAATAAGTCAATCAGAGAAAGACAAATATCATATTATTTCATTTATATGTGGAATTTAAGAAACAAAACAGATGAACACATGGGGGGAGAAGAGAAGGAAACAAACCACAGAGACTCTTAATGATAGAGAACAAACTGAGGGTTGATGGAAGGAGATGGATGGGGGATGGGTATTAAGGAGGATACTTGTTATGATGAGTACTGGGTGTTGTATGTAAGTGATCAATCACTGAATTCTATACCTGAAACCAATATTGTACTGTATGTTAACTAAAATTTAAATTAAAAAAAGAAATTAATGAAATAGAAAATAGTCTAAAAATTTAGAAAATTAATAAAATCAAAATACGGTTTTTGAAGAAAATTAATATAATTGTTTATAAAACTATAGTGAGCTTGATCAAAAAATAAAGAGAGAAGATATAAATTACCACTATCAGGAATAAAGAGGGACTATCAGTACATATCCTGTAGGAAATACTATTAACTTTATGCTAACAAAGTCAACACTTGAGATGAAACAGGCAAATTCCTTGACAGACAAAATATATTAAAGTTCACTTAAAAAGAAGCAAGAATCTGAATAGTCTTATGTCTATTAATGAAATTGATTTCTTAATTTAAAGCCTTCTCACAAAGAAAACAGATGGTTCAGATAGTTTTGCTGGTGAATTCTATAAAATATTTAAGGGGGAAAATAATACCAGCTTTATACAAGATCTTTCAGAAAATGAATAAGAAGAAACACTTTCCAAATTATTTATGAGTCCAGAATTACCATGAACCAAACCAGACAAAGATATTACAAGAAAAGCAAACTATAGGCTAATCTCATTTGTGAGCATAGACACAAAATCCTTAACAAAACACCAGCAAATTCCATTCACCAATATATAGAAAAATAATACATCTTGACTAATTGAGGTTTATTCCAGAAAGACAATATTGGTTAGCATTAAGAAAAAAAATCTATGTAATTCAGGATATTAACAAAATAAAAGAGAAAATCCTGTTATCACCTCTCTAGATAGAGAAAAAAACATCTGAAAACTTCAAGACCTAATCATGACACAGTATCTCATCAAACCAGGAATAAAAAGGAACCTTCTCAACCTGATAAACACATCTACTAAAAAGTCTACAGCTAGCATCATACTTAGTAGTGAAAGACTAAATGCATTACCTCCTAAATCGGGAACAAGGCAAAGATGTCTTCTCTCGCTACTTCAATCCAATTTTGTACTGGTGGTCCTAAGCAATATAAAACATCCAAAAAAGGACAATAAAAGTTCTAAGTAGAAAATCCTCAGCAATGTATAAAAATAATCCGCCAATACTAATAAGTGAGTTTATCAAGATCAAGATACAAAACAGACTGTACTTACATAACTGCCAAATCAATTAAAAATTGGAATAGAAAAACAATGCCACTTATAGTAAAATCACAAAACATGAAATTCTTAAGTATAAATGTAATATGTTCAGACCTATACCCTAAAAACTACAAAATAAAAACAAAGTGAAGAAGACTAAAACAAATGGAGAGATATTTCATGTTGGTGGATCAGGGCTCAATATTGTTTGGATGTTTGTCAATTTTCCCCAAACTGATCTACAGATTCAATGCGATCCCGGTAACAATCCTAAGAGGATTTTATATAAACACTGAAAAGATTATTTTAAAATTTACATGGACTTGCAAAGGAACTAGAGCAACAAAGACTATCTTTTAAAAGAAGAACAAATAGAGGATTTACAAAATCTAATTTTAAGATTTACTATAAAGCTAAATATAGAGGTATAGTAAGCAAGGAAATTGGGCATTGCATAAGGGGTATAAGGTAAACATATAGATCAGTGGAACAGTACGGAAATAGATCCACATGTATATGGTCAATTGATGGTGCCATATTAGTTTTCCATTGCGGCTATAACAAATTACCACCAATTTAGTGGCTTAAAACAACACACATTTATCTTATAGATTTGTGAATTAGAAATCCAACACAACTCAGAGATGAAGTCAAGGCTATGTTCCTTCTACAGGTTCTAGGAAAAAATCTGTTTCCTTGTCTTTTCCAGCTTTTAGAGGATGCCCTCAATCCTTTGCTTATGGTACCCTTCTTCCACCTTCAAATTCAGCAGTGCTGGGTTAAATACTTTTCACATTATATCACTCTAACTTCTATTCTGTTTCTTTTTTCCATTTTTAAGGATCTTTCTGATTACATCGAAAAATCCAGAACATCAGGAATAATCTCACTATTTTAAGGTCACTCTATTAGCAAAATTAATTCCACCTGTAATATTAATTACCCTTTTCATGTTACCTAATATTTACATGTTAGGTTAGAACATGGCTATCCTTGGGGGGCGGGGGGAGAGGCATTATTCAGACATTATTCTGCATACAGATGTCAAGGTGATTCCATGGGGGAAAAGTAGCTTTTTCAATATCTGGCATTGGTACAACCAGATATTGATGTGGAAAAAAGTGAATTTGGTCATTACCCCACCCACAAAATTACCTTTAAAAAGATCATACAGCTAATATAAAAGTGAAAACTATAAAACTTCCAGAAGAGAGACTCTTGAATGCTGAGAACAAACTGAGGACTGATGGGGATGGGAGGGAGGGGAAGGTGGGAGATGTGCATGGAGGAGGGCACTTGTGGGGATGAGCACTGGGTGTTATACGGAAACCAACTTGACAATAAACTATTGAAAAATAAAAGTAAAAATAAAATGTCAAAGCCTTGAAAAAAAAAATTCCAGAAGAAAATCTTTATGACCTAAAGGAAGGGAAAGATTTCTTAGGATACAAAGGACACAAGCTATAAAAGAAAAATTAGCCAATTGTTTTTGCATCAATATTAAAAATTTTTATCTTCAAAAGATGATATTAAAAAGTCAAAAGCAAGCCTCAGACTAGGAGAAAATATTTGCATGTGTGTATCTGACAAAGAAATTCATATATGGCATATATAAAGAATCCTTACAACTCAACAGGAAGACAAAACAATACAATTTAAAACACAGACAAAGGTTGGAACAGACATGTCGCTAAAGAAGATATATAATAGAAAATAAGTACATGAAAATATGTTGGACATCATTAATATCCAAGAAAATTAAAATGAAAATCACAGTGACATGGATGCTTCTAGACATCCCTCAGAATAGCTAAAACTACCAAGACTGATATTGCTAATCGGAATTCTCAGATTCCAAGGTGGAAGTTTCTTGTGTTAAACGTACACTTTACATACAACCCAGCAACTCCACTTCTAGGTATTTACCTAAGAGACATGAATACATCTGTCCATACAAAGATTTGCTTCAAAGTTCATAGCAGCTTATTAAAACATCAATTAATTAGAAACAATCCAAAGATCCACTTTCAGGAAAATTATAGTATATTCATACAATGGGATATAATATAGCAGTGAAAATGAGTTAATAACTATTAAGCACAATGCTGACTGACAAAAAAAACCAAGTCACAGAAGAATATATACAGAATGGCATCCAGGTATAAGATGCATAAACATATATATCACTTCTGTGCTTATCTATATAGAAGAATTATTCTAAAAGCCAGGGAAAACTTAACATAAAATGAAAATGGTGGTTACCTCTCACAAGGTTAGGAAGGTGTATGGGCTTGCAGTGAGGCATGAAGAAAAAGTCAAAAGTCTTGGCAATGTTCTATCTCTTATGCTGAATGATGGTAACACAGATTGTTATTCTTCTTTATAAGCATACATTATAATTATTCTTTTTGTATAAATATAATACTTATGTTTAAAATGTTAAAGGGAACCTAGATGGCTCAGTTGGCTTAGCATCCAACTTTGGCTCAGGTCATGATCTTGTGGTTCATGAGTTCAAGCCCTGCTTCGGGCTCTCTGCTGTCAGCACAGAGTCCAGTTCGGATCCTCTGATCAACCCCTCTCTGCCTCTTCCTCACTTGCTCTCTCTCTCTCAAAAATAAATTTAAAAAAAGAAAAAAAGAGGGGTGCCTGGGTAGTTTAGTCAGTTAAGCATCTGACTTTGGCTCAGGTCATGATCTCATGGTTCACAAGTTTGAGCCCCGCATCAGGCTCTGTGCTGACAGCTCGAAGCCTGAAGCCTGCTTCAGATTCTGTGTGTGTCTCTCTCTCAGCCGCTCCCCTGCTCATGCTCTCTCTTTCTTTCAAAAATAAACATTAAAAAAATTTTTTTAAAGAAAAAATAAAATTTTAATATCACATAGTATTTCTTTATTATTATTATTTAAATTCAAGTTAACATAGAGTGTAGCTTTGGTTTCAGGAGTAGAACCCAGTGATTCATCTCTTACATAAGACACCCAGTGCTCATCCCAAAAAGTGCCCTCCTTAAAGAAAAAAAAACAATTAAACTAATCCCCCACCAACAAACCCTCCAGCAACCCTCAGTTTGTTCTCTGTATTTAAGAGTCTCCTTACGGTTTGCCTACCTATGTTCTTATCCTATTTTTCATTTCAATGACAGAACTGGGACTTCACTGCAAGCCTCTTGACCCCCAATCTCACTGAGTTTACGGACCCTGAGCAAGGGGGAGATAAGCAGATCTTATCTCTCTGCTTCCAGGTTGAATTTGAATTTTGGGGGGAGGTAGGTAATGCAGCAGCTGGCTGGGAAGACAGTCTTTGCCCTGCTCTCTCCATCACCTATGGATATAGCTGATATTATCTGCCTCTTTGGGCAGCAAATTAGATCCTACACAGGTTAGATCCCTACCACAAGGGATTTTCTCCATCCTAATGAAAAATGATAGACTATGAGGGTGCTGGCTACCAGCAAATGTTCATTCTATCCTGAGCCAGTTGGGATCTCTGGGCCAAGCTCTCCATGAGATGAAGAACAGTCCACTGGGCTACCTTCCCTAACCACAGGCAGAATGGAAAACCACCTCTGATAAGAAGAAAGGGCTCATGAGGCTCTCTGGAAAAGACTGTATCCATGTGTCACACATCCCTCCTGGTTTGCTCCCCCAGGACTGTGTTAAAATGCACATTCTTTACCTAGGGCCCTCTCCCGTGAGCACGTCTACACTTCGAGGATCAAATCTCTTTATTTTTTAAATAGTTTATTGTCAAGTTGGTTTCCATATAATCTCTTTAAAAGCTGCTCCTTCATCCATTATTAGTCTAACATTTGTTAAGCACCTACCAATTGCAAGAGTGGCCTTAGTGGATGGGGCACAAAGATGTTACAACAGACAAGGTATCTTTGCATAAGGAGCTTATAAAGGGAGAGCTCACGGCTCGTGGGTTCGAGCCCCACATCTGGCTCTGTGCTGACAGCTAGCTCAGAGCCTGGAGCCTGTTTCAGATTCTGTATCTCCCTCTCTCTCTCTCTCTCTGACCCTCCCCTGCTCTCTCTCTCTCAGAAATAAATAAAACATTAAAACAAAATTTAAAGGGAGAGAAAAATGTATCAACATATAATTACAACACATTAAACTTGGTGCTAGTTGAGTTTTATAGAAGAAAAGAGTAGCAAACTACTGGCCTTTTCAGAGGAGGTGACATTTGATACAAGGTTTGAAAAAGGAGTAAGCATTCACCAGAGGAAGGGGGAGGTGCAGAGACCCTCTGAGAAGGTATGAGAGGTTCTGGCATGCTCTGGAGAAACAAGAGATCCCCGTGGCTGGAGCTTAGATGTATGTAGGAAGATAATGTGCACTTTAGGAGAGCCCTAGGTAGGAAAGGGAGAAAAGGCGTCCTTTAAGGGAGCTGTCGGAGAGATTTTCCCCAGAGCCAAGGACTTGAACCCAACGTGAGGAACCTCAGATTTTAGGACCTGCCCCTGCGAGACACCACCAAAAACATCTTGCTTTGAAAGCTAAAAGGGCTCCTATCCAGGAGAGCAAGCGCAAACTGAGAAATGGTTCCAAACGGCTCGCGCACCTGAACTCACTGGCCCCAGGGTCCAGCGCAGAAGCAGCAGGCTGAAAAGTGCCTGAACTTTCTGTGATAGGAGGTGTATTTACTTGTCTCAAGATGGTAGTGGCCCAACACACAGCCAGGGAGGCCCGTTGAAATACTCTCCGGGACAGCCGCCGGTGGGCGCCGTCTTCCGGCTCTCCCCCTGAATCACGCGAGCTCCCAAGTATCGCAGTAACGGAGCTTCTATGGGCCTCTGGAGCTTGGATTTCTGCGGTTGCGCCAGGAGGCACCTGTAGATCAGGCACAGGTCTCCAGCAGGGCTTACACACTTGGGCTCTGAAGGAGTGTAACCAATGGAGATAGATTTCCTCCCTCCCTCCCTCCCTCCCTCCCTTCCTTCCTTCCTTCCTTCCTTCCTTCCTTCCTTCCTTCCTTCCTTCCTTCCTTCCTTCCGTTTTAGAGAGAGAGTAGGAGCAGGGAAAGGGGCAGAGAGAGAGAGGATCCCAAGCAGGCTCCATGCTGTCAGGTCCGTTCCCACCCACTGTAAGATCATGACCTCAGAGTCTGAGGCTTAACAGACTGGGCCACTCAGCCACCCCATGAAGAAAGAATTCTTAACCAGCTACTACCCCCAGGGCAAGAGGAGCCCAGTTTTACTATGAAATAACTACAGCTGTGCATGCTCTGAAAAGTTTATCTGGAAATTAAGATGCAACACAAATAACCTGAAGCCTTTGGAACTGGCCACATGGGAGCAGTCTGTGGGCACAGGGCCCTGTTCTGAAGAACAGGTTCTAATTCTCCAATCTTCTCAACCACCTTTCCCACCAGAAAAGGTTACATTTGCCAGAGTTCAGACTGAAGATTGAAGCCAGCTTATGCACATCTGTGACATAATTAACACTGCCCATGATGGGCCAAAAGATGCAGTAAAAGCTTTGAAGAAAAGGATTTCCAAAAACTACTATCATAAAGAAATCCAACTTACCTTGTCACTTATTGACATGTATATGCATATCTGTGGTCCAAGTTTCCAGTCTCTGATTGTGAAGAAGGAATTCATTAAAGATAGTCTAGTTAAGCTGCTGAATCTCACATAGATCTTACCTATAGAAATTCAGAATAGAATCTTGAATTTCATTAAGACTTGGTCACCAAGTTTCCCAGGAGGTGTGGATGTAAGTGAAGTGAAAGAAATGTACCTTGACCTTCTTAAGAAAGGTGTTTAGTTTCCTCCCTCAGATGCAGAGGTTCAAATAGCAAGACAAGAAACAGCTCAGATGTCCTTGAACCTGCCATCATCTGTTCCATCCGCACCAGTTCTTCCTTCTGTGATTGTTCCCTGAGTTTTACTATTACATTGGTTCTAGAACAGATTGGAAAGTTGCACAGTGAATTGGATATGGTGAAAATGAATGTGAGAGTGATGTCTGCCATACTGATGGAGAACATTCCTGGGTCTGAAGACCATGAAGACATAGAGCTTCTGCAGAAGCTTTATAAGATGTGTTGGGAGGTGCAGGGGAGGATCATGGATCTGCTTGTGGTGGTATAGAATGAAGACATAACGATTGAGCTAATTCAAGTGAATGAGGATTTGAATAGTGCCATCCTTGGATGTGAGGAATTTACTCAGAACCAACAAAGGATTTTGGAGCAAAACAGGAACCAGATGGAAAATGCCAATACTATCAGCAGATCTTCTGCCCCATCCTGTGATCTCATCGACCCAAGGCTCAGCCCTCCAATGCCGAAGGCGACTCTGGGAGAACTCAACTCCATGAAAGCTCAACTTCAGACTTTAATCTCAGCTCCCTGAGTCCTGTTGTAACAAATAACTTGAAACCCAGTCTTCATCCACAGGTGGATTTGCTAGCCTTGGAAGATACAGAAACACCCCTGTTTGCCCAAAGGACTGGCCAGAACATCACTGCAAATCATACGTATGAGAGTTTCCCAGAATATTCAAATTCAGTACTATTACAGCCACTTAATGTGCAGAATGTTCCAGCAACACTGTCAAGCCAGAGACTGCTATCCTTGCCCACCAGTCATCCAGCAATGACAGAGAATGATCTCCAACCACCCAATTACTACAAGGTAATAGAGTTTGATCCCTTGGCTCCTGTTGTCACTACAGAAGCTGTTTATGAAGAAATTAATGTTCATCATCAGAAAGGAGCTCAAAGTCACAGTGACTGTTGAGGTTGTAAGCCTCTTGCTATCCAGGAATGAAGAAAGAGAAGGAAAGTCTTCTTCTTAGATTGGGTGGAAGTGGGTGACCAGCTTACTACCCGCATTTAGAGGTGCCACCTCTCTAAAAGGTAGACCGTGTGCAGCTTGGAGGCCCAGAAGACCAGAACCTACCAGCACATCAGAACATTTCTCCTCTGCAATGACAGAAGAGTAACAGTTCCAGAGTAACATTTATACTTCCTGACCACAGCTTAAGCTTTATTTTGGAACAACTTGGTTATAACATATACTCACCTGAAACTTCAGCAGAAAAAAAATTCATTGTACTGAGGCCAGTGGGTTTAATTGTAGCATCTTAGGCTTCACAGACCTTCCTACATTTAGAATTGAAATCCTCACACTACTGTGATAAGAGTAGGTGAAGATTATTTTATTACAAAATAGTTATGAAAACTATTGAGTGCCTTCATTTAACTAATGTTGAATGCAAAAGTCAATTTGGACTTTTTTTTATATATAAAGAATACTTGTTTGGAATCAGGAATTTTAAAAGACTTGATGATTGTAGTTTATATTTCAGGTATATGAAAAGGTCACTGGACTCTGTATCAAGTTGCCTTTAAATGTGATTCTTTATAATACTAAATGATCTTTTTCTCCCCTTTTTACTGCAATTCATATTTCTAATAGAAACAAACGCTACTACAAAACATTCAGAATAAATTGTGCATTTGTTTATGTCATAAATTACAATGATAAAAAATATTAAAATAATTTTTTTTAAATATTTTTATTTATTTCTAGGAGAGAGAGAGACAGCATGAGCAGGGGAGGGTCAGAGAGAGAGGGAGATACAGACTCTGAAATAGGCTCCAGGCTCTGAGCTGGTAGTCAGCACAGAGCCCGACGCGGGGCTCGAACCCACGAACCGCGAGATCATGACCTAAGCGAAAGTCGGACGCTTAACCGACTAAGCCACCCAGGCGCCCCAAAAATATTAAAATAATTTAATATAAAAAAAAGAGAGAGAGCTGTAGGGAAGAAGTTTGGAATTTAAGTTCTAAGCCAATCATCTTCAACCTGTGAGCCCTCAGAGACTTTTGGAGGGTCATGAAGTTATGTGGAAGAAGTCTTCAAATTCTTATGTGCACTGACTTTTGACTGTTCAATGAATAAATATTTTCAATATATATGCTACTATTTTAAAATAGAAATAAATTTTATAATGATTTTAAAAATTCAGATACATTTGAAAGTCATGGTATTTTCTGGCACTGTGCATTTTCCAAATGACAATTATGGCAAGTTCAACTGCTGTCATGGGCTGAAGTGCAAGGAGGTGTCTAGGAACACTTACAATGTGAAAGGTAGGGAGTGATAATTCTCCTACCTGAAGTCTAGGCATTCTCTGAGGCAATGAGGAGAAATAAGATGATTTTAAGTAGTGGAAGGAGTTACCATATTTCTGTTTTGGAAAGGTTGTATAGGCTCCCCCAGGGTGCAGGCTGCATTACAGAAGGCAAGCCTCACTGGAGGCAGAGCCATCAGTTTAGAGATTCTTATAGTGATGAAATGAGAGGTACAGGTGACCTGAGCCAGACAGACGTGGTGAAGGCAGAAGGCATTAAAGAGTCAGAATTGTAGAGGAGGGTTGAGTAGGCAAAGCATAGAGGATTTTTAGGACAATAAAAATACTCTGTATGATATTATAATGATGGATGGATGTCATTATTCATTGATCCAAACCCATAGAATGTACAACACCAAAAGTGAGCCCTAATGTAAGCCATGGACTTTGGATAATTACTATGTGTCATTGCAGGTTCATCAATTAAAACCAATGTACCACTCAGGGAGAGGGGCTGTTGATAATGGGGAGGCTATTCATGTTGAGAGCAGAGAGGAAATGGCAAACCTTTGTACCTTTAACTCAATTGTGCTGTGAACCTAAAATTGCTTTTAAGAAATTAAATCTTGAAAAAATAATAAGTAGGAAAAAGTCAGAATTGGTGAAATATAGTGGCCCACTAGACATCAGAGGTGAAGGGATGAAGGAGTCTAGGGTGGTTCCAGGTTTCCAGCTCCAGTAGTAACTGAGGCCATTCATCAAGGCTATCTGCACTATCTCCTGTTATCCTATGATTAATCCCATTCTTGAGATGTCCTGCGCTTTGCATTTGGAAATCACTAAATTCTGAATTAAAAACAAAAAGCATGAAACCTTGGCCAAGTGTTTCAGACATAAAGAGGCAGAAGAGGGGCGCCTGGGTGGCTTAGTCGGTTGAGCGTCCGACTTTTGCTTAGGTCATGATCTCGCGGTTCGTGGGTTCGGGCCCCGCATCGGGCTCTGTGCTGACTGCCAGCTCAGAGCCTGGAGCCTGT